TTCCTCCGCAGCGCCGTGAAGCTTGGCTGTGATTCGTCCTTTTGCATGGATATTTTTGGTGTGTGGGCATATTGCCCTGAGTAGCCACGGCGAGGGCAAGAGTCTCGTGGAGTTTTTCCTGAACTCGGTCGGCTTCGTTGGAAATGATATTCGGCGTGAGCCGTTTTTTCCCAACGATGGTCGCGACTTCTTGCAGGTGCTGTCGCAGCTCCTGTAGTTCGGCACTGACATCTCCTCTTGCCGCTTCCAGCTCGTCGTGGGCAAAAATGAGGTTGTCGAACTTGTCCTTGGCCTCTTTCTTATTGTTCCGGACGTCGTGGACGCGACGTTGGCTATCCTCCTTCAGTGCTGTCACGGGGACGCCGGTGTCCTGCCCGTCTGTCGACTCCCCGGCCTTTGTCCCCCCTAGGCGACGACGTCGCGGCCTTTCTCGGTGAGCCTTCCGTGTGGGAGGGTTCCGCCTCGTCATCGGCGGCTGCTACGTCGTTGTAGGCGCTGTCCCTGCCGTGTTGATTATTTTCCTGATGACGTGGGGTTCTGTGACGTTCCCCTTCAAGGTTCCAGGTTCGGCCTCCACCTCCTTGTGGTGTGCTGGTGTGTCTCGGTATACTCCATGTGGTCCTGCAAGACATCTTTGTTTGACGCGCTCGATACCCCTGGATTGTTGGACGAACGGCGCACTGCTGATGATCGTGGCTCTTATCAAGGCGATGTGTGTCTCGGCGTCGTTGGGCTGACGCCCGGCGGCGCTGCTCTTCGTGGTGGCTGCAGCTGCCTTTCGTTGACCTGCGGCTTTGGTAGAATGCCACCTCTTTTTGAATCCCGGGTCGTTTGGTGGTGTCTCCCAGTCGGGTCCCCCGACAGCGCAGACTCTTCGCATGGGCATGACGCTGTTGACGGTCTTGGCGATGCGGTCGTTGCAGTCCTGGTTTGCTTCACGTTGACTATTTTGGGGGAAATGTTCCTCCTCCTGTTGGGCCAGTGGCCTCCCTTCGCCGCTCGTGGCTTTCTGCTCGCACCTCTGCGGCCTGCCGTCGTCCTCGGCATGGTCGCCACATGGTCTCGGAAAGCTATACCCCTGCCCTTGCTGTTGGTGCGCTTGCCCTGGCCGCTGGTGCCATTGTTCCAGTGGGTGTCGGTATGTGCGGCCTCCCCCCCCTCTCGGTCGCGCCTCCCCCCCCCCGCTTTCTGCTGCTCCTCCCATCCCTTTCTGCTCCTCGTATTCTCCTCATCCTCTTCCTTCTCCTCCTCCTCCTCCTCCTCCTCATATTCCTCCATTGTTCCCATGGGTTGCCGATTGAATTGTGCCGCCCACTATCGTGAGTCATTAGTCCACGTATCCAGACCTTCGCCGACTGCAGGTGCCGTGGGCCGCGTGGGTGGGGGCCTTTGCTCGGCGTGCGGCTCGATGGCTGATCGCCACGATGCCGCTACTGTATTGCTGGAGCTTGTGGTGGATGCTGTGCACTGTGGTGTGCTTGACGTAGCTCGCGCGCTTTATGCGTACGCACAGAAGAGCTTGAAAGTCAGGACGGGGGCTGCGTGATCTCGATGTCGTTGCAGACGTGGCCCCGGGCAGGGGGCGAGATCAACCATCTCTTGTCGTGGATGTCGTGGTCGCTATGCCGGGCTTTTTGGGCCTGCGAGGGTCACGCTGACCGCCGCCTCGCCCCCCCCTGCGGAGCAGATGGGGGCGGGATCGGGCGATCGCGTTTCTTCCTCCTCCTCCTCCTCCACCTCCTACTCCTCCTCCTCCTCCTCCTCCTCCTCCCCCTCCTCCTCCTCCCTCTGCTCCTCCTTCTGCTGCTGCTGCTGCTGCTCTTTCTCCCCTTCCTCCTCCTCATCCTCCCTCTCCTCCCCCCCCCCTCTGTGGCACCTTTGGCTCAAGTCCCAGTTTGGGCCCGAGACCTGTCCCCCCTTCTCAGGCGCCCGCTGCGCAGGCGAAGGGCACACTGCAGGCTCGTGTCGTGCCCACTTCGGCGCTGGTTCCTGACACGGCGGGGATCGTTCAACCCTGAGCGATCAAAGCGTCAGGTCGTCCAGCGTCGACCGATTCTGAGCTGCCGGAGGCGTTTAACGTTGCACGCCGGCGGCGGAGCCGCCGCTGGTCGAGGCGACGCGAACCTACCGCACCCTGCAGCGCCCCGTCTCGACGCGACGCGACGCGAACCTCGCGCTGAGGCCAGGGCGCCCCTGCAGCGCCGCGGGATGGCGGACCTCCGAGTCGCGTGCCTGGCCTGGGCTGCGGGTGCGGGCCGGCTCTCTCGGCGGCGCGGCGCGGCGAGCATGCCGCGGCGGCGGCGCCGCGCGCGCCGCGCGCGCGGCGAGCGGGGCCTGCGCAGGGGTGGCCAGGGACGGCGGCAGAGGAGGCGAAGGACGAGCGCTGCCAGGAGGGGCGTCGGCGGGCCGCAGTACGAGGGGCGCTGCGAGGCGGTCGGCTCCCATGCGGACGAGGAGGAGATCGTCCGGGGGTCCCGCGGGCGGCCCGGCTCTTCCCCGAAGAGGACGAGGGCGACGAAGCACAGCAGCAGCTCGACGTGGCGCTCGAGTTGGCCAGCAGCTTGGCGGAAGCACCGCTGGACATCGCCGTGGGCGGTGAGGAGCAGCGCGCCAAGGCCATCGACCAGGTCGTAGACGACACAAACGCCATCGGCAGGAGCGTCGAGGGCAGGGAGTGCGGCGGCGTGAGCAGCTCCGAGGAAATCGGCCAGCACACTGCCGAGCTGCAGGACACGAGGTGCAGATCGGTGTGGTGCTTCAGGAAGGGGCCGCCGTGGTGCTGCCAGAGCCAGCTGTCGCGAGACGCGGCGAGGAGCCGCCTGTCGTGGAGGTGAGGGCTTGCGCGATGAGGGATGGGTAGCAGGAGGTCGGCCAGCCTCTGCGGAAGGCTGGGTGGGCCTCCCGAGGGCGGCATGGCCGTTGTGCGGCGCGGGGCCAACGTTTTCGACGAGCTACCGCAAGGGATCGACCAGAAGAGGGAGGAACCGTCGGTGGTGCTCGGCAAGGTGGCCGTCCACGTGAAGCAGGCATGCGTCGCAGGAGACCCTGGAGTCCGTGCTGGACGAGCCGGGCTGCCTGCAGGAGCGCAGGCTGCTCGGTGAGCTGCTCATCCGCCAGCGCGCGAGGCAGGAGGCGGCGAAGGCGGCCCTGGCACGGGAGATGGTGAAGAAAGCAGATATACTTGCCCGCTAGGAGTTCGCCACGCCGTGGAAGCGGCTGAAACATAATCCCACGCGTGCAGTGCGGATTTGCTGCATGTGGCATTGGGACGATGCATCGCCGATTCGGCGCGATCCTCCGACCCCATCTACTCGGACCCCACTTAGGAGGCCTAGAGGCATGACATCATGCGAAGCACTACGGCACATCTTCAAGGCTACATTAGATGTCGCCTCGTGCCCCATCTAGCAAATTGGCCTGGCGAAGGGCCCAACCTTATGCAGCTGCGTGTAACGCAGGGCGTTGCCCTCTTCTCATATACCGCGCACCACGGGGAGGGGGGGAGTTCGGACAATGCGGACAAAGGGTTGGGGAGCGCTGCTCTCCCTATGGGGACACGAAGTGAGTCAGGGGTGTGTCGAAAAGGGCGGGGGGACGCATGCGGGCACCCTCACTGGGGCCGTTAGTCGAACCTCAGATGGGTGCACGAAACGTGCGAGGGGTGTGCCGCCATGGGCGGGGTGGCGCATGCGGGCGCCCTTACCAGGGCCGCAGGTGGAGCTTCCTGTAGGGGCGCGGAACATGTAAGGGATTGCCAGCATGGGGGGGGCCCGCGGGCGCCCTCACCAGGGCCGCAAGTGGAGCTCCGTATGGAGTCGCGATCCGCGCGAGGGGTGTGCCGAAATGAGCGGGCGGAGGCCATGCGGGCGGTGCCCACGGAGACTTGCGGTGCAGCTTCCCATGCGGGCACGAAGCGTGTGAGGGATGCGTCGAATTGGGCGCGCTGCCGCCCTGCGGGCGCTCGCACCTGGGCCGTAGATGGAGCTCCCTGGGGGCCCAAAGCGGTGCGCCGAACTAGGCGCGGCTTCTCCAGGGGCCGTAGATGGAGGCCCGTGGCGCAGGGAAAGTGTGGGGAAGGCGCAGAGCTGCGCATGGTGCCGCCATGCGGGCGCCCTCTTCGAGGCCAATAGGTGGAGCTCCATGTGCGGCACGAAGCGTGCGGGGGGTGCGCCGGATTGGGCGCGAGGCCGTCACGCGGGCGCCCTGACTGGGGCCTGGGTGGAGCTCCACACGGGGCCACCATCCGCGCGAGGGGCGTGCCGAGATGAGCGTGCGGACGCCATGAAGGCGGTGCCCACGCAGGCCGTAGGTGGAGCTCCCTGCCCGGCACAAAACGTGAGGGGTGAGCGGAGGATGCCGTGCGGGCGGTGTCCGCGGATGCCGCTGGTGGAGCTGTGCGAGGGGCAGAAAGCGTGTGATGCGTGTGCCGCAGTGGACATGCGGACGGAGAGCAGAGGCGGGGTGAGGATGGGGGAAGAGGTAAGGTGAGGAGACGTGCGGCGTTGCGGATTCAAATCAAAGACATGCAAAGACCCAACACCACAGGAGTGCACATGAAAACGCGTCCAACGGGCACTGAGTGCCGTGTCCTATTCGTAGCATTGGGCGTACGGCTGCACCATAATTTTCTTGTCGCGACTTCCTCATACTTCCCCGATGCCAATCTGCCTCCGAGTTCCACCGAAGCTGCGTCGAGGAGCAGCGAATACCGCGCGTGACAATCAATTGTGGATCACGCGAGTAGAAGTTGCTTCGGAAGTGGTTTCTGAAACACCCTGGCTGCGAGATCACTGGATCGACGGAGAGACTTCCAAATTGATTACGCGTCAGCCGACATGCCAACCAACCCAAAATGTCAGCGATGAGCCTGGACAACCAAGTCTTCGGCAGGGCAGGCACAGAGACATGGTGAAATGACCTTATTCACGCTGACCTTTCGACGATGTCCGCGCCACTTTCCACGAAAACCCCGCGACCTACCCCCTCGATTTATTTTTGAAGCGACTGCCTGAAACCAGGGCCGATGTGCAACCAAAGACGTTGCCCAGAGCTACGGCGCGTCGCTTTGCGACGCCGTGAAAGCGAGCCTACAGCCCGCGATTCCAATACCAGGATTCTTGAGTGGATTCTGAAACGGAGGCTGCCCGAATGGGGCTGTATCAGATGGGGTCGGAAGGTCGCACCGCAGCGCCTGGGCGCGAATTACTGGGGGGCGATGAGTGGGGGGGGGAGAAAGGTGCCCTTTTCGGACCCTGAAGGGCCCCCTTTCGGCAGCCATCGGTGCCCCCCCCATTGTTCGCCCTCCGTGACGCGTCCTCCGATTCGCCGCTGCGTCGGAGACGCCGGGTCGGAAGAAATCGGGCTCCGAATCCAGCCGCTTCGCCGAGGCATCGCCGATGCGGCACAGCTCGCCGACCCCAACTGCTCCGACCCCGCTGAGGCGGCCTGGCCAGAAACTCCCAGACTTCACCTCGGCCTCCCTTATCGTTAAAGGCTTAACGACTTCTGCCGTCCTTCGACTCGCGCTAGAGCGGCCGCAGCTTGCTCCAAATGTCCCTGAAGATCTCTGGATTTACCTTGACTTTCTCGGATTTACCTGAATTTACCTAGATTTATCTGCATTTACCTGGATTTGTCTGCATTTACCTGGGTTTATCTGGCTCGATCATCACAAGTCGATTGGTGAAGAGTCGTCAAGCCCTTAGGGACCTTAGCTGCCACGATGCGCAACACGCAACACGTGGCGTCTTGGCACGGAGCTCATCACGCAGCCCGAGCAGCGCAGGTCCGCAGCGCGATGCGTTCGCCAAGACGTGGGCCGATACGCTGAGCCGACACGCAACGAGCTGACGCGGACGTTGCGAGCACGGTACGTGTTGAACAAGTGGGCGTATCGAGGCAGCTAAGTTCATGTCGGGCGTGTCCCCTACAGGGGGATACTCGACGATTTGTTTTATTTTAAACTCCCAAAATACAACAAAAGGGTCTAAAAATATTCAAAGCATAGTCACTGTACTATTTTTAAACTGTGCTTTGAATATCTTTAGTGTATCCTTTATTCTTCGTCGAAAATCCCCCTGTAGGGGGACAGGCCCGACCTAAAGCCAAGCCCCCGACTTCACCTCAGCCTCCCTGCAGCCCGTGCAGCACGCCCGCGCCCGCGCCCGCGCCGCTCACTGCGCCGCAGCCTGGCGTCCCGCGCGGACGCTGGTGCCGGCGGAGAAGGCCCGCCTCACGGGCATGCCGCCCGACCTCGCCCTGTGCACGGGGTCGCTGCTGGCCTTGCAGGGGAGATTACCGAGGAGAGGGATGAGCGAGGAGGAGGAGGAGGAGGAGGATCAGGAGGAGGAGGATCAGGAGGAGAAGCAGGAGGAGGACGACGAGGAAACAGGAGGACGGGACAGCGCAAGAGATGCTGGCGCTGGTCCTGCAGTTTTCCCGGAAACGTGTATCTTCCCAAAGCCTGTGCCCTGGCTGGACTGCAGGAGCCGGAGGCGTCGCAGCCGCACAAGGGCGCCCTCGGCTTCACGGCGAAGGGGTCGTCGCAGAGGCCGGACCGCTTCATGTAGTCCTCGTGGTCCCTCATAGACTCCTCTCGGGTCGGATAGCAAAGGGGGGGGTTGAGAATCAGCTCACGTAGCTGATTTTCCCGGCGCCTCCCGGCGCCGGAGGCGGCTATGTATCGAGGAATGGGTCCCTCGGTGAGGCCGAAACCAGCCGCATGCAGCAAATTTCGTACCCCCCCCTTTCCCAATCCCCCCCTTTCGCCCGACCCGATCCTCCATGGTCTGCTGCAGCCGCTTCAGCATCGTGACCGTGGGGTCGGGCCTGTGCTTCTGGGCCGGCCGGTGGCCCGGCGAGGCCTGCGGCGCGCGGCGGGCCGCACAGGCGGGAGGCCCCCCCACGCCTCGCGCTGCCCTGTTCCTCAGTGGCCTCTCAGCTGGGGTCCGAGCAGATGGGGTCGGAGGATCGCACCGAATCGCCGCTGCATCGCCGACGCATCAGCGATGCATCGCCGATGCATCGGCGAGGTCGGCGATGCATCGGCGACGTCGGCGTGGAGAACGTCGGGCGCCGTATCGAGGCGCTGCGACGATGCATCGGCAATGCTGCGCGAGCCCTCCGAACCCCGTCCACTCGGGCCCCATCCAGGAGGCCTGCCTGGAGCTTGCCATCGCTCGGAGGCACATTCACAATGTACTTTCTGGCTTCGTGCGCTCATCTTTTCGCTCGAGGATTCAAGATTCTCTCCTCGATGGTCCCCCCCGAAAAAAACATGATGGCCGCGAACCGGCCCGAGGACCGCAAACCAGCCCACGACCCGAACCAGCCGAACCTTCCTGGCCCTCGACCCGAACCGGCCGAACCAGACCAGCCCGACCTCGGACACCGAACCGGCTGGACCGTGCCCTGCCCGACTAACCGAGCCGAGCGGACCGAAACGGAGAGCAGCACCCGCGGGGGCGACGGCGTGCGACGACGCCGAGCGCTACCAAGAATACCAAGGATACCAGCGATATTAAAAAATAATACGCATGTCCGAGCGATACCAGCCGGAAGATCCTGCGCATCTGCACCGAGTAGTTGCCGAACAGGGTGCGGCTGTCGTACAGCGCCGACTCGGACGCGCTCCGGGCCGCGTGCCTCTGGGTCGCCCCCTTGTGCCGCATGCCCTCCCGCCGTATCCTCATGAACACGGAGTCGCTCTCCAGCCACTTCCTCTCCTGGGCAAGCCAAAAAACGGCACAAGCGTGATTAATTGGGGCTCCTCTGGAGGAAGGAATAGAAAGCACAAGCATCAACTTTCGGAGGTCCGCGTGGCTTTCTTGGATCGGCGCTGGGCCCCCTCCCTGGCGCGCGGAGCGCGCCAGGGGCGGCGGCGGAGGCGCCGTCAGGGCGTCCAAGGCGCAGATCCAAGAAATCCACGCGGAGCTCCGAACGTTGGTGTGTATGCTGTTTTTTTCTGGAGGGGGCAGGATGGCGACCTGGTCGGGTGCGGGTGAGTCGGGACTCGCCCACGGGCCGGCGAGTCCGCAGGACGCCATCGGACGTCCAGACGATCCTCTGAACGCGCTCTGGAGGCGCTCTGGAACGCTCTGGAGCGACTCCGCCTCTTTCTCCGCCGTTTTTTGTTCCTCGATTAGACGCCTTCCAGATGGGGTCCGAGTAGATGGGGTCGGGGGATCGCGCCGCATCGCCAATGAATCGCCAGTGCATCTCCGATGCATCGCCGATGCATCGGAGATGCATCAGCGACGTCGGCGATGCATCGGCGACGTCGGCGTGTAGAAACTCGGGCTCTAAATCGAGCCGCATCGCCGATGCATCGGCGATGTGGCCCAATCCTCTGATCACATCCGCTCCGACCCCACCTGGGAGGCCTGCATCGATCTCCTGCGTCAGCTTCACCTCCCTGTCCTCGTACTCGATGAGGGTCGGCGACTCCGACGGCTGCGGTCTGCAGAGAGTGCTGCTTGCAACCGGCACCCTGGGGGCACCCTGGGGGAGCGGGCGGGGACCTCGATGGAGCTCTCCGCCGCGCCCCGAGGAGGCCCGACGAGGACGGTGCCGTGCCCCCCCAGCTGGGCGAGCGCGCGGGCACCTCGGCTGGCGCCGGCTCGCGCGATCCGGCCTCGGATCTCTTGGGGGAGGAGGCGGAGGAGGAGGAGGAGGAGGAGGAGGAGGAGGAGGAGGAGGAGGAGGAGGAGGAGGAGGAGGGGGGGGGGGGAGGGGGCGGGGGGGAGGAGGAGGAGGAGGAGGAGGAGGAGGAGGAGGAGGAAAGGAGGAGGAGGAGGAGGAGGAGGAGGAGGAGAGGAGGAGGAGACGAGGACGAGGCCCCCGGCGCCGATCCCAGACCGCACCCCCAGCGGCACCACACCCCTCGCAGTCGCCGAGAAGGGGTTCGTCGGCCTCCCGAGCCCCGCCGCCGCGGCGGCCCCGCGGCGCGCCGCCCAGGCGGGGGCCGCGGGGCCGGCGCGGCGGCGCGCCGCGGCGCTCGGCGCCCGCGCCGCGCGGGCGCACGTCGGGGAGGGCTCGGCCGAGAGCGCGGAAGGCTGGACGGCGTCCTCGCGGCGCCACGAGCGGCGGAGAGTATAGAGCGAGTCCTCCTCCTCCTCCTCCTCCTCCTCCTCCTCCTCCTCCTCCTCCTCGTCCTCCTCGTCCTCCTCCTCCTCCTCCTCCTCCTCCTCCGCCCGAAGTCAGGACGAGGAGCACATCGGGCGGGGAGCAGGTCGAGGATCTCTGAGAGCCGGGGGCTCGGGAGGACGCCTCGGCGCCGCGGCCTTCTCGGGGCACTCCCGAGCGGATGGATCCTCGTCCTGGCCCCGTCCGACCCTCGCGGTATAGAGCCCAGGGGGGGGAGGGGGGGCTACGGTCGGGAATTGTGGCACAGCGTCTCGCGGCGGCAGCCCCAGCGACACGCTGCGCCCTGCAAGCGGACAGCATGTCGCTCCGCTCTGCGGGGCGGGAGGCTCGAAAAGGCTCGGAACGCTGACGTTCGGGGACAGGGAAGTGGATGGCACGTCGCGCCGCAGCGCGGTGGGCCAGAACTGGCGGAACGACACGCTATCCCAAAGTCCCACCAGCCCACTGGGCGACATGTGGTCTAAGGGGGGTCTATCTCCTCTTCCACAACCAATCTTCCCTTCGGGGAGGGGAAAGGGGAACCCTCCCCCTCCCCTGAGGTGTTTTGGGAGGTTTCGCGAGGCGTCGGAGGCTCCTTTTTCGGCCAGTGGGAGGGCAAATTTCTGACACCCCTCATGAGGATCGTGGGCCCCCGAGGGGGGGACGCACATCGAGCACCCCCCCTCTGTTGACCGACCGCCTCCAAGATGGCCCCAAGAGGCCCTCCAGGGCCCCCAAGAGGCCTCCAAGGGGGTCCGACGAGCGCCCCAAGAAGCCCCAAGAGGGCTCCAAGAGGCCACCGAGAGGCCCCCGAGTGGCCCCCAAGCGGTCTCAGAGAGCCCAAGATGACCCCCAAGATGGCTCAAGCTAGTCCAAGCTGGCTCAAGATGGTTCCCCAAGTTGCCCCTAGAGGCCCCAAGACCGCTCCAAGACGGCTCCAGATGGCCACGGAGCCTCCCCAGGAGGCAGCCAAGAGGCCAACATCCTTCAAAAACCTTCTCTTCCTCTCTCCCCCCGTCAGCTCTCATGAGCATCGTTTCTGGATGGGCTGGTCGGGATATGCGAAGCGTGAAGAATTCCCGACCGTAGCATTTGGGGGGGGAACTACCCTGGGGCCTACCCAAGGCCCTCGGGTTGCCTAGGGTAGGGCCTACCCGAGGCCCTAGGGTAGCCTGGGAAGGCCCTACCCTACTGTCTATAGGAGGGGATGGTCTACGGGGAGACCTGGGACTGGATGGCGTCCTCGCTGCCACCTTCACTGGAGTTCCTCTGGAAGAAGAACATAAAAACACAAGCATCAACTTCCGGAGGCCCACATGGATTTCTTCGATCGGCGCTGGGCCCCCCTCCCTTGCGCGCGGAGCGCGACAGGGGCGGCGCTGGAGGCGCCGCCAAGTGGTCCACGGCGCCGATCCAAGAATCCGCGCGGGCCTCTGAAAGTTAATGTTTATGCATATGTTTCTTCTTAGATCCTCGCCACTCCATCAGTCCAATCGTCATGCAAGAGTGCTGTCGTGCTGCGCGCTGGTGTGTGCGGGGCGTCTCGCAGCTCATTCTCCAGCGCACGCGCGACGGGCTTCTTGGAAAGGCTCGCCGTGCCCGCGAGAAGGCGCTCTGCTTCTTCGCTGCCGGCGGGCCGACTCGCCTGCGCGAGGCTGGGCCGATGCCTGGCTCGCTGGAGGTCGTGCGGGAGGTCGGACGCCTGTGAGTCTGGCATGCTCCGCCCCGACAGGCGGACCGGGGGACACGGGGGGGGGGGGCGCTTGAGCGAGAAACGTCGCGAGTGGCGGCGGAGGAGGACACGAGCTGACTCTGGGTTTCTTAATAAGCGTGGGGGGGTACCCCCCGACGGGGGTTCAACCTCGCCTCGTCGTCGCGCCGCGACGGGGGTCGGAGCGCCTTCGGCGCGCGGTGGCTGCCCGCGACGGGGGTCGATGTGGGTCTGTCGGCGGGGATGACGCCCCCCCGACGCTTATTAAGAAACTCGGAGCATGCGCAACAAGTGGCACGCATGCCCTGGCTCTTGCACGAGGAGGGGCGGTGGCCAGGAGAAGCGGGATTGGGGGGTGGCCTGCGCTAGAGAGAGGGGTGCGTGGCCGAGGAGGGGGCGCAGGCCAGCGGCAGGGGGGAGAGGGATTAGCAATACAAGGACCCTTAATCCTTTGGGAGGGGACCTGCGCCAGGAGTGCCAAACACATGAGGAATATTGGGTCTTCTTTTGCGCATGTGTCAATACAAAGCGCCCAGACAGATTGTCCCTAATTAAACGGCGGGGGCCTGAGTGGGGCCACGTCTTCACTAGGTTATTGCGGGTTCATGAAAGGGGGATATGTTTTTATCCCCGGTGGGGAGAAGAAAAGGCGGGGACGACCACGAACGAATGACGATCGAACAACACGCACCCATACCCATAGGGGGGACGGAGGAGGCTATGGGTGCGTGCTGCCGGATGGGGGCCCCCGCTCGAGCGGGAGCTTCCCCCCAGGGTCCGACAACTCGCACCCATACCCATAGCCAGTTCCCCTCCCTTCGACCCTCCCATGGGTATGGGTGTGCGTTGCTCGCTCGAACGAACGAGCGAGCGAGCGAGGTCAGAAGCCCGAGGCCAGAGGGGGGCTAGGGACGGGTTCATGAAAGGGGATCTGTTCTTAGCCCCGGTGGGGAGAAGAAAGGGCGGGGACGACCACGAACGAACGAGCGAGCGAGGTCAGAAGCCGGAGGCCAGAGGGGGGCAGGGACGGGGGGGGGGCAGGTGCGGCGCGGCCCGTGGCGCTGGGGCCGGAGGGCCGCGGCCCGAGCGGGGGCAGGGTGCCATTGGGTTACCGGCCTCGAACAGATCCCTATCCCCAAGATTTGAAGGGGCCCTGGGACACGCAAATAAATACACACAGATAAAGATATCCCCCATCTTTTGCCATATTTTCTGGGTTTCTGTCTTCCCCCCACTTCCCATATTTTCCCATATTTTCTGGGAATCGCCGATCAATTGTGTCTGTGTGTTTTTTTCCCCTCCTGAAGATTGACATGCCAAAAAGCGATGACAATCTTAGGGACGCGCCCTCAAAAAATAAGGGAATCCCTAAGACTGGCCTCGTGATGAAGAGCTGCCCAGCATCGGGATGGGGATATGTTCCAGGCTGGTCAATTGGGCCACGGCCCGATGGGCGGGCAGGCCCGGGGCGAGGCGGACGGCCGTGGCCCTGGATAGCAGCGGCGGGAGGAGAGGGCCGCGGCCCGAGCGGGGGCAGGCCAGCGGCAGAGGGGGCGGAGACCGCGAACGAACGAGCGGGCGAGCAGACGAACGGACGTAGGAGGGCGGGCAGCCGTGGCCCTGGACTGCAATGGGAGAGGGCCATGGCCTGAGCGGGGGCAGGCAGGGTGGCCGGGTGCAGGGGGGAGGTGCGGCCATGGACTTTTGGAGGGGAGGCCCCTGCCTGAGCGGGATGGGGACCACGAACAAACGCACGAGCGAGCGCACAAACGAAAATACCTATCCGAGCTCAAGTGCACAGATGTGCGAACTCTCACATGTGGGTTAAGCACGCGCGCACACATCGGCTACGCGACATCAGATACCAGCAGATCACTCGAGGCAAAATATATGCCACGACTGTGGCAAAGCCTCTGTGTGCGGAACAGGCTGGACAACGTGTGTACCCCCTGGCTGAAGCTCAAGCTACATCTCAATATCAGGCGGGCCCACTATCAAGCGAGATCTGCGCCAACGCTACGGCCTTTCGGAAACATAACGAAGTTCAACCACCACTACTGCTAAGCAGAAGCTGCAGTTACAGCTTGGCTGAGCCAGGGCTCATGTCCGAACAGAGCCATGGGCCGTGCCTGTGGCGCACAACACGTGCTGCCATGCTCAGTCGTGAGGACAGGGGCTCCCGCTGCCCAAGGGGCCAACGTCACTCTTCGTCTGGCGTGCCCAACTCAGAGGAGAAGAAGAGTAAGAAACATAAGAAGAAGAAGAAGAAGAAGAGGAAGAAGAAGAAGAAGAAGAAGAAGAAGAAGACGACTCAGAGGAGGCCCGAAGAGGACGAAAGGCAAGCCTCAGACCCATCCCCCCCCCCGTCAGGGGACAAGAGGGGGGGGGGAGTCAGCAGCGCCGGGTCCCTTCCGACGAGCAGGAGGGCAAGTAAAGGGGGAGGGGGAAAATAAGTAAAAGGACGACGAGGAGGAGCAAGAGGAAGGGGAGGAGGGGAGTCCAGGAAGCCCCCCCTCCACCTCCACCCCCACCCCACGACCACCACCACCACCACCACCACACCTGCTCCTCCCAGAAGCGGCATGAGGCTAAAATCGAGACTGACGCCAGGAGACCCCGAGAGCTTTTGATGAGCTTCCTCCAGCTCCTCCTTCTCCTCCTCCTCCTCTCCTCCTCCTCCTCCTTCTTCCTCCTCCCTCCTCCTCCTCCTCCTCTCCTCCTCCTCCTCCTCCTCCTCCCTCCTCCTCCTCCTCCTCCTCCTCCCCCCCCCCCCCCTCCTCCTCATCGCCAGCACCAGCATATACCAGCATCATCAGCATCATCAGCAGCAGCATCAGCAGCATCATCAACATCGTGACCATCATCAGCATCATCATCAGCAACTGCAGCATCATCGTCATCATCATCGCCCATCATCATCGTCATCGCCACCACCATTATCATCAGCATCATCGTCCCCATCACCACCATCTCCATCAGCAGCAACACAGTTATCAATATGATGTCCACCAAACTAAACGCCACCATCACCAGCATCATCATTATCATCGTCACTACTACAAGCATCATCGTCATCACCACCATCATCATCATCATCATGTCCACCACCGCCATCATCGTCATTACCATCATCAGCATCGTCATCAGCACCATCATCATCGTCACAATCATAATCATCACCATCAGCACCATCAAAGCATCATGATCGTCAACAGCATCAGCAGCAGCATCAACATCATCATCCCAATCGTCATCCTTATCTTCACCACCACCATCACTACCGCCATCACCACCGCCATCAACATCACCATCACCATCACCGACATTACCATCACCACTACGATCATCATCATCATTACCATTAGCATCATCACCATCAGCATCATCATCGTCCGCATCATCGTCCTCTGCTTTCTCTTCCACCCACTCCGAGCCCACTCCTGCTGCAACTGCTCATCCCGCCCCTCATGATGTTCCTCCCATTGCTGTTGAGCCTAAGCGTTCTCCTCCTTGTCGTGCGGCTCCTCCTCCTCCTGCTCCTCCTCCTCCTCCTCCACTTCGTCCTCTTTCTCCATCCTGCCCCTCCTGACCCCCTGATCGTGTTCCTGGTCCTCTTCCTCATCTCTCCTCTTTCGTGGTTTATGCTGTGATGAATCCTCCTGCCACTAGTCAACCTTCTCTTCTTCCTCTGATTCCTTCATCTTCTCGTCCTCCTCCTCCTCCTCCTCCGTCTCCTCCCCATCTTTCTCCTCCTGCTGCTCCTCCTCCTCCTCCGAGGGGATCGGTGAGAGAACATAGAAGAGATAATCTATAGGGCGAGAAGGAACACTTTAGATCGATGACGGAGGGATAGAGGGGGGCGAGGAAGGCGGGGGAAGGGAGGAGAGTTCGCCCCGGGTGCTTTTCTGAGAGCAAGCGCTACTGTGAGAGCAAACGCTACTACGACTACAGGCACTCGTCGATCCCCTGACATGATTGCATAAGCAAGACTGTTACACTGGCGTCGCTTCGCGACACTGCCAAACAGATGCGCACCTAGAGAGCGAGGGATCGACCTCGAGAGTCCTACTGCCCACATCACCGGACGGAGGATGAGGGTGAGGAGGAGAAGAAGGTGGGGGGATGGAGGAATGTGGGGAGAGAACGGATGAAGCGGGAAGGGAGAATGAGGACCAATGTAAATCCAAGACGCATCAAGGATATTGCAATACGCCCTCCCTCAAAGTTCCCTCTTCAATTGGCACAACAATGACACATTTCATGGCAGGAAATGCCGCATTGGAAATTGACCGTCTGAGTCCTCAATCGTACCAAGACACCATCCCTGGGACACTTCAGCGCCGCGAATCAACATGACTGATGCGACCTGGCAATCATAAGCCGAGCCACAACACCCGTCCCAGGACTTCATCACCGCGAATCATAATGACAGCTAAACCCTGACAAATCTAACCCGTGCCAGACCCCCATTCCTGGGACTTCGACCATGCGAATCCTTGACACAGCTGCAAACGTTTAAGACGAATGTGCGCGGCGCTGAAGCGAGAACCACACTTTGCAAAAAGAGCCGCCCTCAGTCAGTGAAACAACTGCAAACTTTAAGCACGAATGTGCGAGGCGCTACGGCAAGAGACACATTGTGAAAACGGCCCGCCCTCCATCCGTGAACATGTTACAAACGTTCAAGACGAATGTGCGCGGCGCTAATGCTACAACCACATGTTGGTAAAGGACCCGCCCTCCATCCGTGAAGCTGCTGCAACTTTTTAACACGAGTATGCGCGGCGCTAAGGCTAGATCCACATTGAGAAAACGGCCAGGCCTCCATCGTTGAAACTGTTGAAGCTTCTTCGTTAAAAAACAAGTGTATGCGGCGCTCAGGCGCTAAGGCTATAACCACATTTGGGAAACGGCCCGCCATTTATCCATGAAGCTGTTGCAAGTTTCAAGCTTCAGGATCGTAAGCGATGAAATAGTCTCAGGCGAAATGCCTTACCCGCCCTACTGACACGTCTGTGGGTGCGAGAGGGAGGAGTTATCAATATGGACCAGGGACGGAGGGAGGTGAGGATGAAGACGTTCAGGGAGCGGGAAATCCAATATCAGGAATACAATCTAAAGACGAAGGGAGGAGGAGGACGAGGAGGAGAGGGAGGAGGAGGAGGAGGAGGAGGGGGAGGGGGAGGCAGGGGAGGAGGATGAGGAGGAGGGGGCACATCAGCAGCAGGATATCCAGAAGCGGGGAAAGCAGAGGAGGAGGAGGAGGAGGAGGAGGAGGAGGAGGAGGAGGAGGAGGAGGAGGAGGAGGAGGAGGAGGAGGAGGGGGGGGATCGAGGAAAGAAAAAGGAACAAACACCCTTGGCAAGCTGCTACGCTCCCCTACCACGTCCTCCTTCCCGTTCGTCCCGGCCTCCGTCTCAAGACTGCCGCCAACGGCCTGGGTAGCCAGGAATGTCTGGACGAGGCCCAGGCGGCCGCGCTCTGGAACAAAAACCATCCAGGGCTTCGGAACGCCAGTGGCAAGGCTCCGGGCTGCGCACAAATAAACGACCCCGCGGGGCGGCCTCGACGACCAGCGCCGTCTCCGGCGCCCTCCCCCGGGGCGCGTCGTGCCGTGCGGCTGAGGGGCCCGGGCCATCGTGCAATGCCGTGGGGGACCTGGTGAGGCCAGCCAGGGCTGCCCCCGGCTGGTGTGCGTGTGCTGCCTCAGGGGGCTCCCGTCATAAATGAGGGGGGGCTGAGGAGGGAGGGCACTGGACGGAGGAGGAGGAGGAGGAGGAGGAGGAGGAGGAGGAGGAGGAGGAGGAGCCTTCTACCCCGCTCGTTGGGACCCCCACAGGCAGCACGCCAGGAGCGGGCCCCCCATGGGTTGCCCGTGCGCAGCCCCGGGCCGCGCCGAGGGGGCCCCGCGCGCCGCGCGGGGGAGCTGCCGCGGGCCTCGGGGGCGCGGCGGCGGCGTGGGCAGAGCGGCATCACGGCGCCAGGGCGACGCCCGGCGGGCCGTGCGCCGCGCTGCCGTGCGCCGCTGCAGGGCGGCGCGCCGCGCTGCGCGGCGCCCACCCCGCAGGCGCGCAGCTGCTGGCCGGTCGCCGGCGCCGGGGGCGCCACCGCCCCGCGAGCTGGTGGGCCTCTGGGCCGCCAGGCTCACCGCGCCGCGTCCCCGCGGTGC